AGTGGAGCCCAAGGGCCTCGGGCTGAGTTTTGCCGTGAATTCCTCTACGTGCGCCTGCACCGTGAGGGACACCGACGCGCTGCAACTGCGGCGTGGCCGTGCGCTTCCAAGTGCTGAATGTCCAACTCAACTTAGGAGGTGCTGGTGCTCTGTGAATATTGCGGCAGGCTCTCTTCTGGAGCTAAATGGCGCGCCTCATGCTGTGCTGTCTCGTCCTCCTCACCTTTGCCTCCACCTGCATCTCTCAGCCCAAATCTGGGTGGGCTCCCCATGCCGTGGGGGGAGAAGGTGGGGCTGATGCAAGGTGGTGGTTCCTGTGATCATCGAAGAATAGAAATGGGGAAAAGTTTGTAGGAACCTCGATACGCTTAACACTTGGCAGTACTTCCTTTAGATAGTTTTGCTAAATCTTCGTAGGTTTTACAGAGACCCATATCTGCAAGTGCTGCTCCCAGGACTGAGATTCTTGCATGTATTCTGTGAAGTAAAAGTTGTACTAAGTCTCCCCTTGCTAGGAATCTAATTTACAGTGTTAACAGGGCCAAATAAAAGTTACTTGTTCTTAAATGAGGATCTGATAGTAAGGAATTTTCTGAGAAATACGTATTCTCACATAAGTTTCTTTTAGAAAAGACAACGTCCCGTTGCATCCTGAGAAAATATTGCATAGCACATATGGCTTACTAACGTAATCTAAGTCATCTCCCTGTTTTGTTTTTACTGATCTAGGTTGTCTTTGGACAGTCTTTTTTTTCTAAATGGATCTGATTTTAAATAATGTTACTGTTCAAAAATAATAATTCCCCCCTGTGCAAAAAAAAAAAAAAAAAAGCTCACGCATCTCAGATGTTTGGTCACTCTTTGGAAAGATACTTCAAATTGTTCTTTTGTTTTCAGGAAAAATGGAGACTTCTTCCAGCATTTCTAAAGGTTAGTGTTATGTGCTTATTTCATGTCATGAATGCTTAATCTCCTTTCTAACTTTACATTCCCCCCTTCTTTTGATATTTCCCAGAATACCTGTCCTCACCTTCTTTGTGGATTTCGCACTTATTATTTTTTTAAATTCCCTGCGGTTGTGAATAAACTTGTTACATAATTGGTTTCTTGATTAATTTATGGAGGCATCCTTTTAGAGGTTTGCATTTCTGTATGGCTGTTCTCAATGAACAATGTATATGTGTAATGTTTCCAGGTTATTTTACTGTTTTACTGGCACTCAGAGACCCTATTCCTGGTCTTTATATAAGGCTGTGGTGTTAGGTTTGTAGTTGTGTTTGTCATATGAAGCATATAAACCACAGGTCTGGATTCTGCAGAGTCTTGAATATATGTGTATCTTCCCTCTGGAAATCAGAGCTTGACTGAACTCAGATTACTGGTGTCTTGATTTCAGTGCTACTCATATAATATAATCTGGTATTAGCTGAAGGCACAGTTCTATACAAAGTGCCAGTGGATGTAATAACAGGACTAACAAACAGTTGGAAGTGAGGAAGGAGAAAGGCATCAATGCGAATTGTATCATAAAGACGGCGAGTAAAGACTGCGACGTGCAGAGGTACCTTCAGGGAGCTGTGGCCACCTTTGCACTCGTCATCAGTGTTCAGAAATGTTGCCCGCTTCAGGAGGGTTCTTTTCAGCCTCACTTTGTTAATTCCTTTCCTTCCCCGTTTCAGTACCTGCACTTCTCTTTTTGTTGCACCCTTGATTGATCCTGGCAGGAAAACAAAGTTCAAAGTGAGTTACGAATTGTGTATGTTTTCACTTTGGTTCAGGGATGTGAAGAAGCTTCAGGGCCCTAATGAATCGTGTTTCTGTGTCTCTCCTAGCAACCACATGAACTTCTATCACGACCTTGAGCTAGTGATATTGTCTGAATTCTTGAGACTGTGAAAAAGGGAGGGCTGCTGATTGTGAGGTGCAATTTACTGAGTGCCTTATGCCAAGGGCATCCATCCCACATTACTTCCAGCCAGTGAGCCCTTTACTCTAGGGCTGCTGATGGTGGTCTGGCCTTTCTGTTGCTTGTAGGTTTATTTGTGCCAGCGATGATACAGTTACACAAAGCTGATATTGGGCATTACAGTTTCTATAGTGGAGTTTTCTTTCAATAAAGCTGTTGATGTTGCTTCATAAAAAAGAAATGGAAAGAACTACCAGCCTGATTTCTAGACACTAATAAGTCCGTAATATCTTCTTGTCTATATCATATGATGTGCAATGTTTTTGTAAATTAGGGAAACTCTTACCTAAAGAATTTTGCTCTGGAGTCATTCTCCTTTGTCTTAACCATAGAGGCTTAACTAGGCAGCTGGATTTGTCACTCTAAACTCCCTGTTTCTTTCTAATAATTTCAGAATGAACTGTTGCCTATCATGCAAACTATGTAAATGCATCTGTTTTCTGTATGAAATTTTAAGTCTTGTAATGTGTTAGTTCTCATGGGATGTTTCAAAGCTTAAAGCCCTCTATGAGCGTGCAAGCATGTGTCTCTCTCAGCTAGCACTCTTTTCAAGGTGGGATTTTGCGCTGTGGTTAGGGTACTTCCACCTTTTATTTCTGCGAACACCAATCTGTTAAAATGAATGCTTCTCATATTGTTCCTTCAAGCCAAAATCTTTCTTTTTTTTTCTTGAATCGCATATCAGTTTACTTAGTATGATCCCCCTTCTTTTGATTGCTCTCTAAGCACCTTAAACTTAAATCCTTGAAATGTACTGAATCATTACCTGGGGGAAAGGGGTGCTGTTTACTCTGTGTGATATCACCCCCGCTGGACATGTTCTGCCTACAAATCAAACGGAGATTTCTTCTGATTGTCCTGCCCTTCTGTGGCTGTTTCTTTGCTTATTGACTTCTCTCTTTCACACCCTGCTTCTGTTCCACCTCCCCTGTCTCATTGGCCCTCCCTCTCATTCTCCTTTATGCTGTCTGCTCTTGTTAGGGTGCAGGCAACTTCCTTCTCAAGCAGTACATGTGGTTAATTATATTATAAATGATTAAAATATTTTCAAAATACAGGCAAAATGATAAAATATTTTGACTTGCAATGGCTCTTGTTTGCTTCTATGAATTTCAAAGTCTACGGGGTGTTTACTTTGTACAGTTACTGAATTCCTTTTCTGACTCAAATAATGACAGCTCTGGTGTAAACCTGGAATTGTACAGTGTAGAACCAGACCAATTGTCCAGGCACTTCCCAGAAGTTTGTCAACTGAAAGAATTTAGCACAGATCCAAAAGCACTTATAAATGCTTAGATCTTAATTTCTGCCTTGTATGATTAATGTTATTGAAGCTGATTTTGTTTGCTGCATGCCTGTATTTTCCAGGTGAAGGGGCTTGTGAAGCAGCACATAGACTCATTCAACTATTTCATCAACGTAGAGGTATGCTTTCTTGGTGGGAAGAGGGTGGCTCTCAGTACTCAGAAAAGGCACATAGTTCTATTTTATTTTACTTCTTCTTTCTCCTCCAGATAAAGAAAATAATGAAGGCCAATGAAAAAGTTACAAGTGATGCTGACCCAATGTGGTACTTGAAGTAAGCATGAAATGATTTCCGTATCAGTGGTCGCATGCGTACTGTCTCGTGGGTTTGTTATTGCCTATAAAGTTTTTGTAGGCACCTGTATAGACCTAAATCAGGAGAGTATTTTCCATGGCTTCTCTCTTGTTTGGAGCACTGAAAGATGGGAAGATTTAAAGAACAATCACATGAAGCAGACTTAATAGCCAGCTGTTAACAATACCTTATGTCACCATATTTCTGTAGTTTAGTAATCTTGGATGATAAATTAGAGTTTTCTTTTTGTCTGTTTGCAAAGGTAACTTGGGGTTTATTGCCTGTGCAGTTTAAATTTTAGCTAACTAGAACACAAGTCAAATAAAATGAGTTACTTCGGGAAGAATTGTTGCTTGTTATTAATCAACCTACATTCATCAAAGTAACTTCCTTTTTTAGAATATGTAGAATTCTGCTTCCTTCAGGTCGCCTGAAAAATATTTGTCTCATTGCTCATTTTGGAACTGCTTGTATTACAGATACCTCAATATCTATGTGGGTACTCCAGATGTGGAAGAAAGCTTCAATGTGACACGACCTGTATCACCTCATGAGGTATTAATGTTTGTGTTTGTCTTGTTTGATCTTGGGGATGTCTTGAGTAGTAGCTACATGTGCCATTATTTTGAGTACATGCGCGCCACATTAGGTGATAGAATGCATGCCACCATCACTGTAGAAAGAAGCCTCAGAGATTTAAACATAGTGTAATACATTTTTTTTTAACTTTATGGTTTTTTCTGCCATGTGCAAATAGATGTATTGAGTGCCATGGTAGCTGTATTTGAGTGGGTTTCCATGAAAGTAGGGAAAAGCACTTCTCTTGCTTAATCTTGTGGCTCTCCTTATGACAGAGCTGAAGTCCTCACGCTACAATATAGTGTTCTTTGATGGTTTTATTAAGTTCTTTTTAATATTAGCCTTGCTACTCTCTGGACCATAGGTCACTTCAGTCTCCCTTTCCCTCCTGGTCTTCTTCAGGAACGTGTCTCTGATTTTTTGCTCATAGTTTTTAAGTCTGAGTCAGAGAGCAGACACAGAAACTTTGAGCAGAAACAGATGGAAGTTGATAAAATTATAAGAAACTGCAGAAGAACATTAGCCTTATGGGGAGTATATTTAACTTCTTTGCACTGCTGTAAGCATGTAGGTTAGCAAATGGATTGTGTACTTCTGGAGTAAAGATGCATGCTGGAGAACAGATGCTGCTGTGACTGAAATCAGAGAGTCTGTTGCTTTTTGCAGGATATAAGGTAGCTTCTGTACATATAAGAAAGCCATAAACTAAGATAAGGTTTGCACCTTTTAGGATTGCTTCCAGGTCTCTGAAGCCATTCAGTTCCCCTCAGAGATTGCTCAGGAACAAAGTATTCCTCTCCTGCTGCTGTGCTTTGAGATTTACACCTCTGCAAGAGAGGTACTGACAAGCTCTTTTTGGCCTCAGAATGGGAACTGAGTTTGGAACTTGCGCTTGTTTCCCTACATAGAGCCCGTTGTCAACGTAATAAATCAGTTCACATATCAGATGCTCTTTTCCTTGCATATTTCTCGATACTTGAAGTTGGATTGTGGTTGGGTTTTTTTCATGTAGTAGATGTGGCACACTTTAGACTCTATCATGAAATACATTCAGTGCTTTGGAGAAATTCTGTAAAAACAAGCCACCTAGTGGCTGCTTTTTGTGCATAGCCACGTTTCTGTCTCCAGTGACCTGACTCAAATCTCATATAGTTCAATGGAAAGATTTTAAGTAAGGCAAGTAACTCAGCCATGAACAGTGCAATTAGATGTTAAACAGGACAGCTCATGCATCTCACAAATGTGTAGCTAATGTTAAATCAGTAGATCTGAACGTGCACAAAATGCAACAGGAAAGATTTTTTTGTATGAATAAAATTGTGTGAAAAAAATTGTGGCCCACAACTTATGTCCAGGAATCCATGTATTAAAATACTTGCTTAGTTTGTAACTAAAGTGACTGAACATGCAGAAGAGGGCAAAATAAGTACTTCATGGAGTATATGAAGCATTTGTTGACCTTGAATTTAGAATAGCCTACTCTTGCATCTCATATATCTTCATTGATTCTTAATGCTAGTGCATAATTTCTCTTTTTTTTGTATGTGTGTGTTATACACACGTGAAGGCCATAGTTATTTTTTTAAATAGGATGCTGATCAGGACAAAGTAAGGATGAAATTTAAAAAAAACACAAAACAAAATATTGGATACTTATGAGGATATTACTACAGTTCTTTGTTAGAGGCTTATAAAATTCCTTTTCAAAGACACCTAAAATGATCAGATTTTCGTAAGGGTCAGATTATTTTACCTGTTTTCAACTACATTTGGAAGTTTTTATGTCCTTGGTTCCTTGAAGATCAAGTCATGCCTGTCTTTTACCTCTAGGTGTCTAATGTAAGAAGAAGTTACCTCAAGGAAGGTGATACAAAAATACAAGTGCTGGAATATTACACTGTATAATTCTGATTTTCTATCTGTCTTGTGTGAGCAAAGCACGCACAAAGAATCCCAAAGCCCTTTTTTCCGTAAGCGATACTAATGATGCTGACTCTCCTTCTCGTGCAGTTCTTGTGGGAGTTTCATGAACTATTCATACAGATGAATTTAAAGTAATTAGAAAATGGAAATATTCTCAGTTACTTTTAAATTTGATAAAGTTGCTGGGAGAACAGTGGGACCTACTTTCCTACAAGTCACAGCTTGAACACTGCGGGTGCACCTCCATATTTTATTACTGGAGAAGTGGTTTGCTTTTTAATTTGGAGGAAGGAGCATCCGGTTTGGAATGATTCTTGAGGCATATTTTTCCATTCAGTTGCATCTTCAAAGCACAGCACAATCTTAATTGCCTTTTATTGATGCGTAGTCAGTACACTGAAAGACTACAGAACCATAAATGTGCAAGTCTGAGTACTGATAAACCTATAATCCTGGAGCTCAAAGGTATAGAATGCTCAGTGAGGTCATGAATGACCTGCTGTGAGTTGCTTTGTTGTATTCAGCAAATGCAATAAACCTTGTCTTGCATGAAGGTACTCAATACCTTAAGGGCTAGCAACAGAGTCATAGAGCGAGGCTGGGGAGAGCAGACCAGAAAGATCGGATTAGAAATGATTGAGCCTTGAGCTATGTAATGTCTTAGATATGCGTATCCTGCTTTTCTTGCTGTCTGAGGAATTTGCAAACAAATTCTGGGAAACTTTACAGGAAGTGATACTGTAGGGAGCCTTCTGTAAGTCATCTTTAGAAACGGTACCATACAGTGAGATTTGCTCGTTCTGTTAGTAAGGTAGCACGGTGTCTCTCTTACTCTTGTGTGTTTCCCTTACATCAAACTTCCTATGACAGCACAATTCTGCAGCTGCTGAGAGTCTTCATATAGAAATGTCCCTGAGCTGCGCACTGATCTCAGAGCCTGTGACACTGTTATGGTCTTTGTGCCAGCTCTGCTGATTAGGCCTCTCTGCTTAGTTAAACAGTTTAGAAGTTACGCTCCGCAGTGCTGTCCTCTGAAGACACAGATCCACTGGCTGCTTTTGAAACATCACAATAATTATATTTGGGTTTTTTTTTCAGTGTTTTGTTTTAAACAGGAGACTCTGTCAAACATAGTCCAGGTACCATGAAGAGCTTGGTCAAGCATTGCTTTGCTTGGTTTCTTTGTGAGGACTTACAGGAGACAGGGCAACCACAGGGTGTTTTAAGACAGACTCTTCAGCTTGTAAGCCAGCATCTAACCACGTGATTACTCCTTTTAGTGCCGCCTGAGAGACATGACTTACTCTGCCCCGATTACAGTGGACATTGAATATACACGAGGTAGCCAGAGGATCATACGTAATGCATTACCCATTGGCAGGTAAGATACCATATATCAAGCTTATGGTGTTAGTTTTCAATTACTGCCATGTTATGAAGAGTTTTTACTGCAAAATAAATGTAGGCTAACCTAGCTTCCTTGTTAAAAGAAAAAGTGAGCAGGCAAATCTTGATGAACAGCTGGACGGGATGTGACTGTTACGTTCTGTTATACGATGTTGTTTTGCGAAAGCTTCTGGAAATCTCTCTCCTTCCAAAGAAGGATGGATATAAGGATGGATGTTGTTTATGTTTGTATTGATATAAAACCAAAGAGGGAAATATTTGAAAGAATACTGGAGCTGCAAGTTGCGTTATTGCAAAATGAATATAATCATGTTTGCTTTGTAGCCAAATTACTCGGTCTTTCATGCATAATACGTAGATACGTCTGTGGAAGGTGGATGGTAAAACCAGTAAAGCAAGCAGTAGCTCTTCTGTATGAGCTTAAGCTCTCCTTTAAAATTGGTTTGGTTTAGAGCCAAGGCTGAGCTTTGTGGAGGAATACTGAGAATTCTTTACTAATTTTGCTTTTCTAAAGGTAGTCAAATGGCTTGAGGTTATTAGTATTGTGAAGGACATCTGATTTCTTAAAGAAAAAATAAGGTACCTTAGGGAGAAAAACAAGCTCTTAACCATAACAAAAAGGCAGAATACCTGGCAGTTCTAGCATTTATTGAGAGCAAAATTCCATTTTAAAGGCAATAAAGATGTCTGTCTTTTGTCAACAAGGTTTCTTAAGGGCCAGCCCTGCTGGCTTTAAAGGTCAGTGCCTTACAGAGGGTGCTAACTGTGTGTGACTGTGCATCTTACCGGAGGTGGAATACTGGTGGGAAAGAGATGATAGATACTTAAGGAGCTACACTTCTTGTGTGAGATCTTAAGCTTTCATATAAAAAACCCCAAAACTTTAACTCTGTCAATAGAACAGGATACACAGCAATGCATTTACGAAACCAGACTTGTGTAGCTGTACTAACAGTTTATTGTTCTAAGTAATTCCATAAGAAAAGTTTTTAAAAGACCATCTAAATGTGAGTCCTTTGAATTATTTCATGATGTGTGCTATAAGCAAAGAAGAAAGTTCAAGTAAATGTGCATTTTCACCAAAATGCATTATCAAAATACAAAAGACAATACTTTAAAGGATAAGTTATAGCTAAAAGAAGAACAACAGAACCTAGTCTAGAAGTTTGTCTACATGTCTAAAAAACCCAAAATAGTGGGGTAAAGACGACTTGTAAAGCATCCATAATATACTGGGAAAGACTAAACTACTGCACAGCACTAGTATGTTGCATCTTACATAAAGGCCTGTTCCTATAAATTCTTCTCTTTCTCCTATGAAGTGAGGTCTATGGCAAAAAAAGTAAATATTCTCTATTAAAACATAAAGTTACATTATCTGGCTGGTTTTAAGGACATACATGCAGAAAGTCTTTTTGCTGTTAAAAACTGTTAATATTCAGTTGTTATTTCCATGGGAAATAATTTTCCTCATCTATCCCTAATTTTGTGCTGGTTTCCTTTTGCCAGCTGAGTGTATAAATGCTCTTGTTTGACATGCGTTTCAGACTGGGACAGGAAAACTGTGTTCTTTCCTCTGTTATTTCTGTTGTTTGGCAGAGTCACTGATAACCTGTATGTGTTAGAAACAAAAAAGCCCCAAACCCCAGGGCAATATTTTTGTTTAAAAAGGAAAATTTTCTTCGAATATTTAACAGCATTCCAAATTAGTGTACCCATTTGCTGTGTCTTTATGAACAGAAATTCTATAACTGTTATTTTCCCTTTTGCCTTTTTTTTATTTTCTTCCCGTTCTTCTTTGTAACTTCAGATATTAAAAAAAAATTAGATCTGCCCTCAAGAGGAAAATGACTTACTGTAGTGTCTTATGTTAGCTGCAAAATATTTTATTGTTTGCAAATGAATTAAAGAGTAGATACTTGGTGGCATCTGTTTCACTGAAGTTTTCAGTGACAGCATTTACATGCTCCATTTTGACTTTCCTTATGCCAACTGGTTACTGTTTCTGATATAAATAGCCAATGCATTAGGGTTATCGTGTGTGTGATGCAAGATTGTGATTGTCATATGAAGCTTTGTATCTCTAGGAAACACTTTCTCAGTGAAATGACTGAAGCAAGTAGGTTATCTGTATAGAGCGCTGTAGTGACAAGATAGAATCATAGAATACCAGGTTGGAAGGGACCTCAAGGATCATCTGGTCCAACCTTTCTTGGCAAAAGCACTAAGAAAAGATGGCCCACCACCCTGCCCAGCTAATCTTAAAAGTATCCGATGTTGGGGCATCCACCACTTCCCTGGGGAGATTATTCCAATGGCTGATTGTTCTCATTGTGAAAAATTTTCCTCTTGTGTCCAATCAGAATCTCCCCAGGAGTAACTTGTACCCATTACCTCCTGTCTTTTCCATGTGACTCCTTGTAAAAAGGGAGTCTCCATCTTCTTTGTAGCCACCCTTTAAATACTGGAACATGGTGATAAGGTCTCCCCTAAGCTGCCTTTTCTCAAGGCTGAACAAACCCAGTTCTCTCAGCCCTTCCTCATATGGCAGGCTTCCCAGTCCTTTGATCACCTTTGAGTCCCTTCTCTGGACCCTCTCCACCCCGTCCACATCTTTTTTTGCATTAGCAGGGATCAAAACTGGACACAGTATCCCAGATGTAGCCTGACAAACACTGAGTAGGGTGGGATACTGACTTCTTTATCTCTGCTTAGTGAGACTGAGCAACTATGAACTCAGGGTCGCTCAGTGCTTTATCCTGTCAGGTCTTGAAGACCTCCGTGAATGGAGGCTGCCCAGCTTCTCCGTGCAGCTTGTTCCACTGCTTGACTGTCCTCATGGTGAAGAAGTTTTGCCTTATATCCAGTCTGTGCATCTTTAGTTTCTCTTTTTTTTTTTTTTTTTTTCCCCTCCCTAAGCGTAGAAATTTTTTTTAATGTCTTGGAATATTTTCCCACCACTTCATGTTGCATCGTAATATGGTTGCTGCAGGCTTCTGTGCTAAAACACCAGAGAAATCAGAGCTAGTACTGGGGAAACTTCGTGCCTAGGTTGTATATTAGAGGCACTATCTGTCTGCAGCCGTAAGGTGTGATTGCTGTGTGGGAAATCGGATCTGAACTAGCTTTTTCTAATTAAAACTGGTAACAGTGGATCTGCAATGGCGTGTTCTTCAGTGCAGACTGTCCTGGTTTTGGGGACCAGGAGTCTTTGCACTAGTAGTCATTGGCTTTGGTGAGTGCACTTGTCGTGGATGCCTGTAGTAGCTGCGTAAAAATTAAATAGGAAGTCTACAGTTTCTGTCAGTAGATCTCCAATTTCAGGTCTCTCTTTTCAAACTACGGTGAAAGAAGGTGTGATTCAAGGAAAAACCTGTTGTTCACAGCGTGCATGTGTTCTAATTATCATAATGTGTTTTCTCCAGTTTGTTCAGCATGGTTTTTGTTCCGAATTTGACTATTCATATTTTCCTATCTGAATCTAAAATAAAAGTGTAACTGGTTTTCTTGCAGAATGCCTATAATGCTGCGTAGCTCCAATTGTGTTCTTACTGGGAAAACTCCAGCAGAATTTGCCAAACTTAATGAATGTCCTTTAGATCCAGGTAAATTTACACTCATGTTCTTTTTTCGCATCTGTGCCTTTAGTTTTAAATCTTTTTCAGGAAAGAAATAGTCCTTTGGAAGGTTTCCTGCCACTACAAAGTCGGGAACTTCTCAAGTGTATGCTTGTAACTAAAAGAAATTGGCAGGCTTTTGAAAATAGTAAGAAATGGTTGACAGCATGGAATGTTTGTATTTGCAAATGGAATTTTCAACCACAATAAGAGTACACCAAAATTTTTAAGAAGTTGGGAAGTGTGTGTAGTATTATACAATGGTGTGTTATATGGCAACAGAGATGGAGTTGGTTCGTGAAAATGAAGTGGAGCAGGGGAGAGTGGAGTGTAAGGGTGTCCTGCAGAGAGGGAACTCTCATTTGCTGCCTTCTGTAAAGCAAGAATAAAGTGTTACGTGATAATATTTGAAATGCAGAGAGGACATGAAGGGTTGTAACAACGAACTTCCTTGTTTTTTGTCTGCTGCCTTTGAAGCATGCACTGGATGTGCACTGTGCTTACTTGTGATGGCAAGATACGGTGACATGACGTGCTGTGCTGGAGGGACATTAATAGATAGCTACAATGTAAGAGGGGAACCTTAACGTGGCTCATGTGCAGATTCCCTGTATTGTCTTAAAAATGTATTTTAATGCCTTTGTTGTATCTAAAAGTAATACAAAATAAATTTCTCCTGGGAGTGCTGGAGAGAGCAAGTCGGTAATTATGGAAGACTTACTCTCTTTGTTTGATACCAAGCACCTGAAATGGCCACTTCATTTTTGATGTCCTTATGATATGCTCTTCTGACAGGCAATATTTTTACTGAATTTATAGAACTAATAATTCTATAACATCTTTTAATAAGTATGGTTACCTTACAGGTTTAGGCTTTTTACAGCTTTGCGATTTTTGGTCTGCCTGGCAGTTCTTGCTGTCCAAGTACTTCCCAAATACTATGTGTGAGCCTAGCAAAACTTCTGTTTAGTCTAGTGGAACATTTTCGTAGTTGTTACAGGTTCCACAGAGTTTGTTCTTTACTTTTTTAAGGGAAAATTTATTCTCCTGTTTTGTGTTTTATGTACTTAGGCTTACTTTCTAATAATTTATATTCAAAGGGATGTTGAAAGAGGCAAGTAAAACACAAGGGTACTGACATGCAAAATCTTTCTTTTTCTATTGAATAGGTGGCTATTTCATTGTTAAAGGTGTAGAGAAAGTCATTCTTATTCAAGAGCAGTTATCCAAAAACAGAATCATTGTGGAAGCTGATAGAAAAGGCACAGTTGGTGCTTCTGTTACCAGGTATGGTAAATGCCTCCAATTACATAAAGGAGATAAAACCAGAGCTTCAAAAGGTCATTGTTGTGGTTGAAGTAGCTGTGTAGTTTTCTTCCTAGTGTAGTTTAATGGGAAAAAGCTGTAGACATTCAACACCCCTCTCTTGCTACTGTCATTTTGTACACTAAAACATCAATCCCAAAATCAGTTGGTATTCCCACAAAAATCAGTGGGAGTTGCTCATATGCTTCAGGATTCATCCCAGACTAGGAAAAGCAAGTTCCAACTTTGAACATAACAAAGTACACTTCCTAAATGATGGTGTTTGGTCTCATTTTGCAGCAAGTAACATGAAGTCACTGCCGTGGAAATTGGATGTAACCTTTTGTCTGACTCTCTAAATCCATTTGATGTAAAAGCTCTTAAAGGCAATTGAGAAGGAAACAAAAATCAAGTATTTTTGTACTACACAAATTATTGAAAATGGCAGGTAGTCTAAATTTGGCCTTTCCTCCTTGACTGAGTTTTATTTATAATTTATTTGCCTTTTGGTTTTGTTTTAAGCTGCATGCTGGTATAATATGGTGTTTGTCACTGTTCAGTGTGAGGGCTGTTTTTTCTTTTCCAGAGGCCTCTCACACATCCCTCCTACCTCCTTTACTGTTCCGCAGTAAGCCTAGATGAGGTTAAAGGTACAACACAAAGTAGTGTTACCTCATTACTGTTGTTACCGCAGTACTTGCACAGAGTTTGACCTTGCTGGTTACATCCAGGTTGATGATAAAAGCATGCAAAGATGGTTTTGAAAAGTACAGGCTTCTACTTGCTTAAGTCAAGTATTGACCTTCCTCATCACAGGTCATGATACCCTTGGAGTTACAGGGTGATGTCTGGCTATTTTAATGTGATTTTTAGAAGAGGAGAAAGTGAGATTAATTCAGTTGAAAGATTGCTCAAGCTTGCTAGGTTTTATATAGAAGATTCTAGGAGTGTCAGTGCAAACTTTCTGTTGGACGTAATTTTTTTTTTTTTTTTTACTTCAGTTCCACTCATGAGAAGAAGAGCAGAACAAATATGGTTGTGAAACAAGGAAGATTTTACCTGAGACACAACACTCTGTCAGAAGATATTCCCATTGCTATCATATTTAAGGTAATATAGCTATTGATTTGGAAAAAAAAATAGCTCAGAAATGAAGATAGGCATCAGCTGTCAGAAGTCAATACATACAGAAGGACTTAGCTGGACTTAGAGAATGCAAACTTTTTTCCTCTGGGAAGTCATCCTTATTGTACAGCAAAAAGGAGAAAAAGCGCCGCATTTTTCTGCAAGGAGAGCATTGTTGTGCCAAGACAAATGCCTGCTACCCCCTTACTGTATTGTAAGGTCCCTCTGCGCTGCTGCCTGTGCTCCTGCTGCTACAGAAAGTCAGAAGCATTTTGTCTTGTTATGAGCTATGTTGCAAACTTGGGTTAAGGGTCATGGGTTCTGGTGCTGGTATCCCTCGTGCTCACTTCCAGCTTGTGGACTGCTGGGTAGCCCAACACCCTTTGTTTCAGATCTGGGGACATGACGTAGCCATGAGCTTGTTATACATGACTTCCACCCATAACCATAAACAAAACTGATAGCTTTTGGGGAAGTCTTGCAATTTTTAGACCTGTTCCTAAATCCTTTAAGATTACTAGAGTGGCTTGCATTTCTTGGCAGTTTGCTTCCTTCTGCTGTGAATGAGCTCTGTCTCAGTCAGAACACTTCAGAATCCCTGCCTGATTCAGGAGCACTCACCAGTATCTTCAGTGCAGTGAGTGCATGGACAGGCATCATAGCTTTGAAGCTGTCTCTGGTGGGACTGATAAAGGGCTGTGAGAGGCATCCACCCTTGATTCTGGGCAAGAACTGAGGAGTATTTGCCCTGCCAGGAGAGCTGCTGACAGTGTCATGCCTTGGCCATCACTGCCTGAGAAACTTCCAGAACTGCTTTCTTTTGCCTTCTGCTTCTCCCTTCCGTTTCCGTTCAGTCCGGGGTGCACACAACTGAAGGCATTAATGATGACTATTCCCTAGCTGCCCAGCAGGACTGGAAGCAGGATGGTAGCCCATCTGTCTGTGGTATCGAACACATGGGCTACAGCCAGTAGCCTTTGTAGCCACCAGTAGGTGGACATGCACTGCCTGGCTGCTGGAGAAGACAGCAAGGCATGGCCAGGCCTTAGGCTAGGACCTGTCCTCCCAACAGCTGGTAGCTCCTTCCTGTGCTGTAGGCATTGCTGCTGCCTGTGGGCGTGCAGCCTGGTGGAGTGGATGTGCTCAAGGAAAATGGGTAACAGTCTTGAATGTGCTGTTCACAGGGAAGGTGGCTTAAGGCACAAAAAATGCCTCTGGCTGGATCTAGCAACCAATAGAAGTAAATCCTGTATCTCGCTTTTCATCCTCACTGTAATGGTTTACAGCCCAGAGGGTTTGGGGAGGTGATGATCACTCGCGGAAATAAATTGCCAGGAGAGGGCAGCACTCGCTCACAGCATCCGCACAGTTTCACCGGTAGTGCTGATTTGTTGGCGTTGGCAGCTACAGACTGTTCCGTATTACCGTACCTCTTTGGCTGATTGAAAGTTGTAAGGTTTTCTTGTAGGAATTGCTTTGCGTTTGGTAGTAGAAAATAGTTTAATAATTGGATTTAGACTTGTGAAACAAATGCCTGTTATCTCTGTTTAAGATAATCTCTTCAGGTCATTGGAGGAGATCATCTGTTTTCAGTGACCAATGTTAAAGGAGGTTGAGAAATTATTTGTGGACAGAAATGCACATAAAAGTGTCAGGATTAAGTTCACAACTTTTCTGTTGCAGAAAAGTGTTAATATGGCTCTTAATCCGTTTGCTCAACAGCTGGATTCCACCTTCACTTACAGACTTTTATTACATTTTGTCACCCCCTGCTGGTACAGATAAATACCTGCTCGCAGCAGAGGAACTGCTCAGGGTTATTAAGTTCGAGGAGGTGGTTGTTGGGGTGTTTTTTTAAGCAGCATTGTACTACTTGATCACCTTCAGACAGTGCTTGCTGTAATGATCCACCTGCCTATAGGTGTCTTTTATATACCAGATAATGTTGCATGATTTTTCATTTCTGTATTGAATAAGGGGTTGCAGTTGTTAGAAGCTCTTGGCCATAGTACTTTTCAAAGGTTTATATTCATTTAATCCAGTAGCAAATTAGTTGCACCCACTTTAACTGTTCTCATGTTCTATTCTTGAACTGCACTTAACCGTACTCATGAGTGGTCATTTTCCTGACCTTTCCTTTAATGACATGTGAACTTCAGGAATTTCCTGTCAACTTTTAATGTCTCCAGCTGGAAACTAAAAATCCCAGATAGTCTTTTCAATGGTTTCTTAGGCAGGCACCAGCCTCTGATCTTTCTTTCTTGAGTATTGCTGTAATGCAGTATTACTTTGTTATATTTAGCTACTAGAAATGAGGTTACAAGCCCTGAAACTGGAAAATCTCTGACCTAGGGTTCCCCGTGTCGCCTCAGCATTCTGACATGTCAGTTTTATACATAGGAAATCTGTTGGAAAAGCAAGATGAATAATTCCTATCTGCTGAGGCCCAAGCCTTGGGCACGGAGCATAGATCTTTCTCATTACTAGTAAGTGTTCTGCTTCTTGTAAGGTAGAGGTACACATCTGCAAGGAGCAAAGTTAAGCTGTACAGAGGATGTAAGGTTTGAAGTTTTGATTGCCTTTGCATCCTTAACTTTTACTGTAGTAACTGCTTGTATAATTTCTAATTAAAAAGTAAACTGAGAAAGCAATGACAAAAATCTGTTGCTCTGCATTTCCTCCTGCAACCAAGTTCCACAGACCTCTGTGTTTTGACTGAGAAAATGACTAGTAATTGGTAGAGACCTGCTATCCAGTGCATGGGCCAGCTAGAGGGGACAGTTTTGTCAGGGACTGTCTGAGAGTCAGTGGGAGAAGGCTGGGCAATTCTGAATTGTCTTTCTAGTCCCAACAGCTTTAAATGGCACAGTGTCTGTGCAAATGACATGAGATGTAGATCAGGTACAGAAAATCATTGTAACTTGTAGGAAAGAAAGCAGGTATTGGAAATGTGTGATTTAATGTGGATTTAAAGCTGCTGCAACTGTAAAGTGGAGGTGTACTAGTATCTCTTAGACATCTTTGTCAAAAGCAAGGGCTGTGAAGTAGAGAGCATTACAAACACCACCCGCTGGCAGACCTGAGGCCTAAAATCCATGAAGAGCTCCCTTTAACTAGAATCTAAGAGCACTTTCATGTTTCAGGCATGAGTCATGGACACAGCTGCATACTAGGTTAAGACCTGAACATATAGTGTTCCCCATCCTTTCTTTTATTTCATGCTGGGGAAGGAAACTCAGGTGAATGGGCTGTAGGGAGGGGTGGAAATAGTGTAGATCTAAAGGTCCCTTGATCTAGATAGATGCGGGGACTGGACTGTGTAGGGTCACCCTAAAGGGGGGCCTTGAAGTCCATCCTTACCCATAGTCTCTTCTGAACTGCAAGACGTTTTCCTGCTGCTTTGCTTTTCTGCCATCCAGACACGTAAGGATCTTTGTGATTGGCATGTTTGGAGATAAAACAGGTAGTTGTGCCAAACGCTTCTAAGTTGTGGGTTTGTGAATTTTGGTACGTTGACCACAGCTAACTGAAATTTGATAGGCTACAAAAGGCATAGTCCTAGCACTATGCTAGGAGAGAGTTGAAGTGTCTGCACTTCAGATGTGAGGGAGTTAGTTCTTTGTTGCTGTGCTAGCTTAAACACTTTTCCCTTAACCTTTATTCTTGAAAGTGACAGAAGCATTTGTGCAGCCCCTATATATGTAAATGCAGGTTTTGGTTTGGAGTAGTGATAGAAATTGGACAATTTTGCCCCTGAAGTGTGTATTTGTTGAGGTTTTTAAAGGGCTGTTAACTGCCTTGTAATGGGAAACATACACAACTAATTTGCTTCTTGCTTGCTGTGTAACACAACTTAATTAGTTAACATACACATGCAACCAGAATGTTATTTAGGATGTCCTGAGTTCACTTGCAACCCCAAGAGACCTTTGTTGTAGCTGCACAGATCACAGGGATGTGTGACATGTGCATAGTGGTTTTTTTGAGTATGTCAGGCTATGAACTACACACACTTTACCTGAGGGGCTCGGACAGTTTTAGGTAGCAATGAGCGTTAGAGGAGCTGCGGAATATTTGTGTAGTATTTAAGGGTGTTTCTATCCTGGAAAATATCAGGGTTACAGATGAGGTGGTGCTGCTGCTTTTGCGGGGAGCTCCCTACATTGCAGGGAGTTAGAGCTGTTTTAAGGTAAGGGCTGTTTTTCTTTTGGGTTTGTGATCTTGATTCGGTAGACTTGAGTGAGTCCTGGGAGCTGAAGTACGTGAAGGTTGCATGCTGCACCAAAACTGGTTGGGTAAGGAAGAGAATTATAAGTAACCTAGGGGGGGCTTAAAAATTGAATTTTACGACCTGAATCGCAAAGTAAAGTATCTGTAGTTTATGTGGGAGCTATCAGGAGCTGCGCTAGGACCTGCGGCAAAAGATTTGAACAGCAGGTCAAGTTTCAGCTTTATAAACCTGTTAGTTTTGGTTTTTTATTATTCTAGCTATTATAGCTAGAATATGTTAGTCTTGGAGCTGTTAAGACACAACTCTAGTGGAACAGCTGAATGGTGGTCTTACTGGATCTGCAGAATTACAGGTTCCCATGGTTGCAGTTTCATAGCTCGTATCTTTTGAATTATGAAAGCTGCAGACCAATTTTGTCTGTGATGTCAACCTTGAACTTCCCTGACATCTTTTTAATCCAGTCATCTGCCTGTCTCCATTCTGTAATTTAGCCTGATGGACTGCAGGACTACATTCTAGGGAAGTGCCATGGAAACGCCTAGACATCATCATTAAGACACGAGCTGGGGGAGGAAGAGCTGGGCTCGTACTCTTTCATGCACGCTTTTTCATATGTACATGTGTGTTTGTGCACACACGTGTTTTGGGCAGCAGGAACATCCCCAGTCCTAGAAAATGTGTGACCCCAGTTGGACCACTTTCTCCCATTTGAACTCAGGAGGATCTGAATATTCTGAATGTTTGCTTCGACTTGTCTGTCTTATGTCTATTGATTACTAGCCTTCCAACCATGCTCTTCAACAACTTGCTACAGTCTCCTTCCTCATCCTTTCACTGCTACTGCTAAGTTATCCCTTTGCAATGTCTCCTTCCCCTCCACCCCCTGTAAAATTATCCCTTTGTGACGTTGCCTTCCAATCAAAAATAAACAAGCCATCTTGTCTCCTGCTTTGCTTTTGTGTTAGTTCCCTTTCCCTCGGCTTTGTCCTGGGATCATGAGCACTGTAAGCGTAGGACCCGTTCCTACTTGCATGTCCTCAGTGTTGCACAAGCAACAATCCAGGAATATTTTGTTACTGTTGTAGTGATGTTAACAGGCTAATTTTGGAGCACTTTTTTGTTTCTGTTTCTTTGTTGTAGAAATGCAACATCAGTGCCAAATTTACTAAATAAGAAAGTGTAGGGGTTACAAATCTGCCCGGTACCAGCATGGGCCTGTTGCTTGCCTTGTTAGCGTTGCATGTAGGTGGGTTTGTGTATGCAGCTCTGCCTATGACTGTTGAGAGTGCAGAGGAGAATAAATGGTTTTACTTTGAGGCTATTGTGTTAGCACATCTCTTTCAATCAATTGCCTGAGTTTTTAGTCATTACTCATAAATTAATTTCCCCCAATTTGTACTTACGTATATTGTACTATTATATATTGTTTGGTGGAAGATCTCAGCCTTTCCCACACACAAATTCAGAATTCTCAAGTGAGTCTGCTGCTACAAACTTCAACTAGAAAATCTACACAGGTGTAATGATATATCCTACTCTCATCTTTTTGTCAGACTTTTGATCAGAGAATTCAACAAGTTAGAAGAAATCATCAGCCCTCTTAATTTAATGCGACTTTCTGGTTTTTAATGGACAAAAGAGGATAGTAAAACTGCAGGTTGACTTTTCCCCGCTTGTTTTGTTTACCTTTTAGATGACTCTTAGAAACTGGTTGCCATCCTAAAATTAACCTGCTGGATAGAAATAGGGTGGTATCTTATCAGCTTGCATTTGGTGTGCTTTAGATAAATATATTCCTGGTATACGTGCCTAGAATGGCACAACAATTCCATCAATAACATTTTGTTCTTCTGTAGGCTGAATGCAATAATTGTATGAATCCAGTTGTGGTTCCTAAACTGGTTTGCTGGTCAGCTATTAAGTCCTAGACACATGGAAAATGACAATTGTGAAGCTTTCATGCTTTTGCAGACTTTCTTATGAGTCTGGTGCTCAGATTATGAGGGATTCTGTTAACTTCTCTGCTGAGGTTTTTTAACTACTGTGTGACCTTATTTAAAAGGGTGAGGAAGCATAATAATAGTCGAAAAACAGAGATTGGAACTACAGTAATATCACATGGACAAATTCTGGTTCTGAAAATAGTCTTGAGATCAGAGGAGTGACCACTTATTGGGAGCAAACTATGATGCATAAGAGCTCTTGCTCTTATGATGAAGTAACTGTCTTGATTTGGTACTCAGGTCTCTCCAAGATGGTGGAACTGGGATCTGTGCTTTGCACTAAAACAGGAATGTTCTCACAGTTAGGAGCGTGTGCTACTTGTGCACTGCTTTTGGTTTCTAATAAACCACAAGGTGAATAGAGTTTTAAGTTAAAGTAGCTTCAACCAACCACTTCCTTGTCGAAAAAGAAAGAAGAGATGAAAGAAAGAAAAAAAAAAAAAAGCTGGATACTTCACGATTAGAGCAACAGTTTTGCAAGGGGATAGCGTTAGCTAGGTGTTAGGCAAAGTGACACCAATGAAGGTGGTAAGAAGGGAAGGTATTTGTGCATTTTTGAGGAAACTGTGACTTTTTGGGACACTGCCAATTTTTAATGAGAACCAGAATACTACATAGGCCATTATTTACAATGATCTTTGTGGCAAGCAGTTTGAAGAATAATATAAATGCAGACGTAACTTCCTCACAAAGTTCTGAGAAACATATTATAACTCAGCCAGAAGAGGTTTAGTGAGGTTATTCCATTTCTTGATACGGCAGAGCTCCAGGCAAATGTGTGAAGAGGGGAGCTTTAGCACCATCTGGAATCCACAAAGGCCTTCACTGCTGGCTGCCACCTTGAAACACTTACTGATAGAGAGATTTTTCTAAATCTGTTAAGCGCTTTCTTAGTTTATTAAGCTTTTTCTGCAGTATAAAGTCTAACAAGGTGTCCAAGGATCAGTGAAATAATAGAATGGCTTTCAAGTGGAATTGTGTAGTGAGGTCATCTTCTAAATGCAGAGAGCTGCAAAGGAGGTAAATTGTAAATGTTTCTCAAATAGGATGTGCTGCATCACAGTCAACTGACTTTGTGAAATTGCTTGTGGTAAGAGACCATGTGTAATCTTTTAAGAAATTTGACCTTCCTTTATTTATTGTAGATTCTGACTTGGTTTTCATTGTTACACACACAGGGTTGTTATTACCTGGTATTATTTTTTTTTTCTTAAGAAAAAACATAGGATTTAACTCTTGTCAGTGAAGAAAAAAAGGCTCTTCGAAAAGTTCCTGCTGCTTATCAAGATTTCCATTTAACGTTCTTCCATAGCTAGAATATGTGCTGCCAGTGCCAGATGGCACAGTTTCTTAGAGAAGAGCTAGCTCTTGCTTAGTAGTAATACAGACAAACAATACCAAATTAGCATAAGCAAATGTCAGTGAGTTAACATAAAGCCTGTGCTGTTTCTGTCTTTTCTTCTTTTCCTAGGCCATGGGTGTTGAGAGTGACCAAGAGATTGTACAAATGATTGGCACAGAGGAACACGTGATGGCTGCATTTGCTCCTAGTCTGGAAGAATGCCAAAAAGCTCAGATTTTTACACAAATGCAGGTGTGTCTTTTCACATGGCCAGAGGCCATAAAAATCTAAAGACTGTGGGTATTGACCACTTTGCTGTATCAGCATTCAACATACGCTTTGTCTTTTGAGGTTTGTTTTTTGGGGGTTATTTTAAGCTGAGGGTTTTTAAGGGGGCAGGACTTGTCAAAAGTGAGGCTTTGCTCTCATTGCCCCACTGAAAAAAAAACCAAAACAAAGTCACGAAGTGCTTTGTTTTCAGAAGCCCAGAGTTATGTTTTAGTCTATGTGACAAGTAGTGATGTCCTTAAGATTAGGGTTTTTTGTGGAGGACATTTCCCCTTTTTTAAAAAGAAATGGCATGCCCCATTTCGCAGAAGCCCTGTTGGTGTGGACATTACAATTTCATCATGAGTAGATGTTCTCCTCCAATTCTAATCTCGTATAAAGCCCAAAATAATAGCCACTCTCCGTCATGCTGAAGTCTCACCAGAATTCTCTTCATTTCATGTGTACTTTTTTAATTAGGCAGAACACAGGCCATTTTTCTGGCAGTATTTCCATTGTGTTCATACATCTGCTAGAAGAAGCTTTTGAAGATCAGTCTTACTTCTGCTATTTCATTTAAACTTTATCAAATCTTTCCATGTGTGATGTTGAGTGTTTTAAAGTTTGCATCTTTTGGGGCTTTTCAGGGTTAGAGGTAGCATGAAGGCCTCCTAATTCAGAGTCAGAAGAATAAAATGGTGATGCTGGAGGAACATAGAGAAATGTGAAGCATCCAGGAAAGCAGAGAAACAGAAATACAGAAGTTACTCTGTGCAAGAAATGTCAAATGAAATGAAAGTGTGAGCTATTTGGGGAAGAAGGTTCTTACCCTTCTTTCCAAGAAGGTTGGAAAGGGTAGTCTGTCATTTAGTGGAGAGAGTAATTCTCCACTGGGGAGACTGGCATGGGGGGGTATGGCTTCATTTCCAAGCGGGAACTTCCTGTGTGGACCTGGATAGTTTCTCTGACTCATCTGACCCTGAATTCTGCAGATCGGTTCCATTTCCATTAATCATTTGCAAGGTACTCTTGGAGACAGATGTGGATGCCACACAGTAGCGTTTGTGCCTATGAAGCAGTGAGCGCCACCTCACAGTTTAGTATCTAAATGACACTTGGCAAGTACACAAAGAACTGGACATGAAAAGTCAAATTGAATGAACTAGATACTTTGGACTTTATATAATCCGTTTTCCTGTATCCCCTTTCTTTTAACATTGTAGTAGTCATGCTCTTTCATGACTTCCCACTCCAAATGTTATCAATATATGATAAATAACGTGTTGTATATTTAATTATACTCAGTTGTGTCAATTTTCAAGAATTGCTTTTTATTAGCATCACCTAGGTGTTTGGTATTTTGCACGTTGCTGGGAGTTTGTGTCATCTGTGGCTAGTGGGATTGCACTGACTGGGGAATGCATCCAGATCTCTGTGTGTGTGTTATCTGTATAGGCTACAATTCTGATATTAACTCAAGTTAATTCCCTGCCTTGACAGGCGTTGAAGTACATTGGAAACAAAGTACGAAGGCAAAGGATGTGGGGAGGCCCAAAGAAAACAAAGATGGAAGAAGCACGAGAACTGTTAGCATCAACTATTCTGACCCATGTTCTTGTATGTAATGTTGTTGGTTTTTTTAAACTGGAGTCAATTTGTGTGGTAATTTATGGTGTGAGCTTTGTCAGCAGGGAGAAATGTCTTTGATTGCTTTGTAGCTGAGATAAAGTAAATCATCCTCAAAATAGAGGGGAAGATTTGAATTGAGTCAAAAGTAATCTTTATGTTTATGAAATGCTGTACCATTGAACTACTTATCATATGATGTATTCTTTCTGCATAGCCAGGCACTATCAGCTGTTAGTTTGGGACCTTATTTGCGTGACCTGTACCTTTATTCTGATTTGGTTTTGTTTACTATCTGTTTCTATGTCACTAATGTGTATTACCTGTAGCATTTTTTAAGAAGACAAAGTGCACAAATCTGTTTTGTAACTCCTCAATTAACCCCTATTACCCATTGATTTAAATAGATGTGTGTCTGTGGATAAGAACTAAGGAACCGATCCTGAAACATCAGTATGGTTTTCTTGTTGTTGGTTTTGTTTATAGGTGAAGGAATTCAATTTTCGTGCTAAGTGCATATACACAGCAGTGATGGTGCGCAGAGTCATTTTGGCTCAAGGAGAAAATAAAGTAGATGACAGAGACTACTATGGAAATAAACGTTTGGAGTTGGCAGGGCAGGTGAGTTGTTACTTCAGAGCAAAGGGCTGTTTTGGGGCTTTGTTAATCTCTGCTTTTAAAGGATGCAGAATAAGGAGCATCCCTGTCTTCTCAATTGAAGTGTTTTTCCTCTCGTTTTATTTTTGTTGGCTTTTCTGTGTTCACTCATAGACTGAGACTAATAAATTTTATCGTCACTTCTGTAGTGCCTCTTTGTACCAGATAAAAGGACAGAGCAGTGTAAATACGGCATCAGTTCTAGTTCCATTAGAACACTGTTAGTGCCAAGAAGGCAGCAGTTAATATATATCTTCCAGTGTCCCTCTCTAAGCAGCTGGGTAAGGGAATAAACTGGGACTGAGTAGGTGCCTATGTGTCAGGTCCAGGCTGTCCCACTATGGAGACCCCAGCTTATGTAGCAGCTCACAGAGCAGCCACTTAAGCCTCCTATAATTTAGAGAAGCCCATAAGATGGCTTAGTTGTTGTCAACTGCCTTTCTAGCCTCTAAAATAGCATGAATTAACAAAGTAAGTGGTTTAAAGTTAACTTGAGCAGCTAGTGAAAGTGGATTGCGTGGACTTCTCTGCTTGCAGAATTTTGGCTCTGGAGGTAGAAGCAGTAACAAAGGGCTGTGAAGGAGGGAATGGTTTGAGGTGTCTGACTGGCACCGTTCTTTTGCAGAGAGGGTGGCAGTTCGCAGCTGTTGGGCAAACTACATTTTCTTAATGCTGTGGGAATTTGCCTGTCAGGTGAAGGAACTGCTTAGTTACCGTGGCATGGATTTTCCCTTGCCATATGTGGTTATATGATTCATTAATTTAGATTAGGCTTGGACTTCTTTGCTATGCTCTGTATTAAATTAAGTTGGAGTTTTGGCAGTCAGTATCATCTCTGGTTATTGATCATACATCAGAAATTCAGACAAGTATATGTAATGCACCAGGCTGCAGAAACTGTGCATCTCTGCTTGCCACATCATTTGTAACGGGATTTCTGTTGCAGTGCAAGTAACAATATCTATTCCTTTTTGTTCGTATCCAATGGGAATTCTCAACTTACTGTATTTTTTAAGATGTGTGCCTGCATATTGCCTCATACTCCTGCTCTCCTTCCCATCGTGCCCTGTCCTCCATGCACGTGTGACACACAGACAGAGTGCACAATCATTTCAGAGTAAAAACGTGTACTTCGCTTCCTAGGTTTCTGAAGAAACTAAGATGACACCCTTGAACACACTCCAAGCACAAATATAAGCTAAAAAAGCCTCTTAACCTGTTAGGAAAAAAAAAAATCCTTTCTTCAAAATAAATTTGACTTCATCAAACTTTTGTGCTGAAGTAGAATATATTTCTGAAGTGTAAGGAGCAGTAAGAGGACATTAGTGCAGTATTCTAATGGGCCAAATATTTTAAGCTGTAATGGATTTATTTGGTTTCTGCTGCAATGTCGTTGCTATAGTTCGCTATGACTGTATTCAGTAAAATTAGTTGTTGCTTTGCCATCGTATTCTTATTTAATTGGATGGAAGGAGTAGTTTGTTTTTTTCCTAATATTTTTAGAGGCAGAAAGCAGGTAAAAAGTTTTCAACAAACTGTGAGAAAAAGGCCTCTGCTCACACAGATGTTAACAACCAAAGTAGTTTTCAATTAACTGGGAAGAGGTTTTAAATGTAGAGGATCATCATAACAAAGCCAGTGTGTATTTTTTCTACATCAAGGAGAACTGTGCAGGGGGGGTTGTAGCACTTGATTAAGAGTAATTCTGGCTCCCTTGTGATATTTTAAAAAGCTCATTTCAAGCTGAACACTTTACCACGTTCACCTCTCTGCTGTGCTATCAGTCTAATATTAATTGGATTGGATTACAGACTAAAAAGTGTAGAAATTTTTTGCCAGTTTCTAAACGTTTGTGTTTAGCTCAGGTTTGCATGGGTAAAATGGTCGTTTTTTTGTTTTGTTTTGTTTTTTTTAATGCCAGTGTGTTCCTGGAATAAAATTCCTGATGATTTAAAATTTGAATAACGAAAAAAAAAAAAGATTCCCATGTGAGGAGAAAAACATGGCAGTCTAAACAATGTAAAGACATAAAAGGCATTGTGTTTATAAAAATGTGTGAAAACAATAGCTGCTAATTTCACACCCCATGGGACAAGAGAGTACGAAATGTGCTTTAGCTTTAGATAACAGAGTTATATCCACTAGCCAAGCTGGTTTACAGAGCTTTCTCTTAGTCTTTCTGCCACTAGAGGCTCGGTAGGCCAGGTGCCAGCTGAGGTGTTAGCAAAACCTACTGATTTCAGGCTTAATCTTTTCACCTACCTTTTCTCTTTCCTTAATGTGTTCATTATTTGCTAAGCATTACTCTGTTCTTTGTCCTCATTTTTTTTTTGTTTCTAATGCAGCTTGCTTTGTATGAGTGAGATATGGAACAGCACCAAAATCCGGCACCCTGGAAAGCAAGGGATTTCTACCCTGTGACAAAAGAATACCGCCTTGACTTCAGAGATTGCCTAATCCCAGCTGTTCTGATAATATAATTAAGGCTGCCTAATGTCTTTAATTTTGCAACCAGTTTGTGTGAAAGGGAGAATTTGGCACTCTAAAGGCTTAAACGCTAAATAGCAATCTCAAGGCGCCTAATTAGAATTCTCTGACATTAAGCTAATTGGTGAAACTGTATTTCAGCAGCTTAACTTCTTTATTAATTTTTCTTAGGATTTTCAATGAAAATCAATTGATGAGCTGTCAGTATTTTTTTTTTTCTTAAATATAATTTGCTCTTTAGTGCTCCTGTCTGAAGCAGGCTGAAAGGCCCTGGACTAACTATGAAATCCATTGAATATTATCACTGGCATTCCATCCTTTTTCTTTAATCTCTTGCTCTTGACCTAAATAATGTGGTTATTGTGAGATTCTGCTTTGCCAGATAGTCAGAGCACTTACAGACGGAAAGTCTGTTAGTAAAATTAGCAAAGTATGATGCTTTTCAGACTGGCAAATAGTTGCAAGTTGGTGTACTTGGGGTGTAACTTTATTGGTTTGGAGAACAGGAAGGATGGTGTGGCTTTACAGTCCCTATGGCATGTGGAATTAGGACATTTTTGCAATTTTATGATCAAGAAATCAAATACAAAAACATTTTCTGAGTGAATTTTTTAAAATGTTGTTACATGTTTTGTTAAATGTTTAAGGCCTGCTCAAACTTGTTGAGATCAGATGTGTACCGTGATTGATTTCAAAAGAGTCTAGTTCTTATTTGACAAGACTATCAGACATCTTAAAACTGCACATTCCTTCCTTTCACTTTTTTCCCACTTTTGAAATACTTCCCTCATAATCTAGTTTTTGGAGACTCCAGTGGGTTCTCCTTTCTAATATGAAGCTTCATAAAAGATGCTTTTATTTCTGAGGGAGATCTGATTTAAGTGAACTGTGTCGTTGCAGGTGACTGGATTTCTTTCCATGAAGGCCAGTGGGAGCATTTCATTGCAAATCAGGTGTCTGTCTTGAGTTTCTAGGTGTTACTTGTTATTTTTTTTATTCTTAAATGCATTTGTGATGCCAGTGAAAAGGGTGGCTTATAATTTAGTCAGCTACTTTGCAGTGTCTTTTGCCAAATACTTTGGCCAGCCCAGCTGGGGCATGTAGGTAGAGGAAAGCAAATGAAAACTAGTGGTCCATCCCAGTGGTAGAGGAATGGATGGTTTGCCTTCTTGTTTCCAGAAGGTGAGGAAAAGTTGGGACTATGTCCAATAGAGACAGTTAAAATTCAGTTTAATTCTGCACATACAGAAATTAAATAGTACAGCTGACTCCAGAATGTCTTAGCTTGTGGTGCCTGAATACCTAGCTTGTTCAGCCCTGCAGTGCTTTGTACACTGGCATCTACCATTTCTGGCATCAGTAGCTGCTGCGTTTTTAGTTCTTCTCACCCTTGGGGCTGCTGGTTTTAGAATTTACACTGCTCGCTTGCAAAGCTAATCATTGTGAACACTTAAAATGTATCATGTAATGCAGATTTAAGTGTTTTGAGAAGCTATTAGTGTCTGCAAAGGGAGGTTGAGCAAACTGCAGAAGCAAAGCAGATTGGAGAGCAAAAAAAAAGTCAGATCACTGAACTTTGGTAGCCTTTTCCTTTTATGGCTGTTTTATATACTAGAAGTAATTAGCATACATCTTCAGGAAATAATTGGGTTAAATTGCAGCACTTTTGAAGGGTTGTATTGCTAGGTTTTTGTCAATTCATCTGTGTTATATAGCTTCTTTGCTGAAACTGTAGACTTTTTTTTTTATTTTAAGGGAGAGATGTGGAAGACCATTGTACTTTCCAGACAGTAGCACTTCTAGAAAAGGATGGCAGGTGTTGAACCAGATTGTCTCTCTGTGGGTGTAACTGGTTTTCCGTAGATTGTGATTGGCAGAAGATAGCAGGATAAAAGTACATCTGAGTGAGGGAGCTGCCTACATAATCTGAGATACATCTTGCCAACTGTCAAGAGCAGAGGTTGCTTCTGGGCCCCTCGAAAAGCCTCTTCTAGTTCTGCTTGTCCAGAAGTAATGGCAACTGTGCAGCTTTTGTGCTGCAGTCTGTTCTTGCAAACTGTGCACTGCTTCCAAACTCTGTGCTGCTGAGTTGCTTCCCCTTACAGTCACTTGGGTGTTTCTCTTGCCTGTTTTAAGTAGCTCCTGGGAAGGGGCACTTTAAACAGCCCTTTTCACTTTTAATAACAGAATATCTCAAAGTGCTTCTTCGCTTACAGCTTTACTGCAGTGATTCCATCTAGTATTAGAAAAGAAGCTGGTCTTGCCTCCAAATCTCGTGTGTAATTCAAGGTTGTATATTTAAGGTATTAAATCTTTAAAAGAGTTTGTGACTTTAGGACGGAAGAAATAGATCAGCTGGATTATAATGTAGCAGATTAGGGAAAACAGTAAATGGCTAGTATAGAGATGGGTGGGTATGCTAAGATGCTGTGAAGGAAGGATTAAAGCAAACCAGAAAGGGTTAAATGCATAGGCTTAGACCATTCTTCTACTTAACTTGCTTTCTATTATGAAATAATTTCTCTAATATTGCACTTCAATTTAAGAAGGGAAAAAATTTGTGAGAAAAATATGGTTTGAGAAACAGGATATTTTTTTAACTGACAAGAAGTGTAAAGGTAGAAATATTAAAGGTGTTTTCTCCCCCCCAGCCACATTTCCCAGGCCTGGAGAAATACAATTTTCCCCTTAATCCAATTGTTTTGTATTTCCAGCTGCTTTCTCTTCTATTTGAAGATTTATTCAAAAAATTTAACTCTGAACTGAAAAAGATTGCTGACCAGGTAATCCCCAAGCAACGTGCAGCTCAGTTTGATGTAGTGAAGCATATGCGTCAAGACCAGATCACCAATGGCATGGTCAATGCCATCTCCACGGTAAGTATTTTTGTTTTCATTTTGGTATGTAAAGTCTTTCCACCATAGTGAATGATGGAAATGTGTAAATTTTGTTCTGATGACTCGACTATCTTTGGTCATCAACGCGAATCTATTTAACATTCATTATAGATTAAAATTGCAAAACTCTGTCATGGGCAGGGCTTTTGGAATTCACTAAAGAATCGTTAATCGTCGTGCTGCTTTTTGCTTCACCATTTATTTCAAAGTGGTGTTTTAGTATTTGTGAAGGAATGGTAGAAACAAGCAACTTTAAAATAGCAGTCATGTTTGTATTTATCCAAATTGCTGTCTTCTAGATTCTATTTGACAATGTGGTTCATGGTATTTTTTATCATCTGGATTTAGCCAGGGTCAGGTTACATCATATGTCTAAAAGGCGGTTGAAAAACAGTAGGCAAACCTGGGGAGGGGGG